GTCTTTTCTGCCAAATAGGGCGGGACTACTAGTCTTTTAAGGCGGTGTTATCAGTCAATTAGGGTGGGGCTACTAGTCTTTTAAGGTGGTGTTATCAGTCCTTTAGGGCGGGGCTACTAGTCTTTTAAGGCGGTGTTATCAGTCAATTAGGGTGGGGCTACTAGTCTTTTAAGGCGGTGTTATCAGTCCTTTAGGGCGGGGCTACTAGTCTTTTAAGGCGGTGTTATCAGTCAATTAGGGTGGGGCTACTAGTCTTTTAAGGCGGTGTTATCAGTTAATTGGGGTGGGGCTACTAGTCTTTTCTGTCAAATAGGGCGGGGCTACTAGTCTTTTAAGGCGGTGTTATCAGTCCTTTAGGGCGGGGCTACTAGTCTTTTAAGGCGGTGTTATCAGTCAATTAGGGTGGGGCTACTAGTCTTTTAAGGCGGTGTTATCAGTTAATTGGGGTGGGGCTACTAGTCTTTTCTGTCAAATAGGGCGGGGCTACTAGTCTTTTAAGGCGGTGTTATCAGTCCTTTAGGGCAGGGCTACTAGTCTTTTAAGGCAGTGTTATCAGTCAATTAGGGCGGGGCTACAAGTCTTTTAAGGCGGTGTTATCAGTCCTTTAGGGCGGGGCTACTAGTCTTTCAAAGCGGTGTTATCAGTCCTTTAGGGCGGGGCTACTAGTCTTTTAAGGCGGTGTTATCAGTCCTTTAGGGCGGGGCTACAAGTCTTTCAAAGCGGTGTTATCAGTCCTTTAGGGCGGGGCTACTAGTCTTTTAAGGCGGTGTTATCAGTCCTTTAGGGCGGGGCTACTAGTCTTTTAAGGCGGTGTTATCAGTCAATTAGGGTGGGGCTACTAGTCTTTTAAGGCGGTGTTATCAGTTAATTGGGGTGGGGCTACTAGTCTTTTCTGTCAAATAGGGCGGGGCTACTAGTCTTTTAAGGCGGTGTTATCAGTCCTTTAGGGCAGGGCTACTAGTCTTTTAAGGCAGTGTTATCAGTCAATTAGGGCGGGGCTACTAGTCTTTTAAGGCGGTGTTATCAGTCCTTTAGGGCGGGGCTACTAGTCTTTTAAGGCAGTGTTATCAGTCCTTTAGGGTGGGGCTACTAGTCTTTTAAGGCGGTGTTATCAGTCCTTTAGGGCGGGGCTACTAGTCTTTTAAGGCAGTGTTATCAGTCCTTTAGGGTGGGGCTACTAGTCTTTTAAGGCGGTGTTATCAGTCCTTTAGGGCGGGGCTACTAGTCTTTTAAGGCGGTGTTATCAGTCCTTTAGGGCGGGGCTACTAGTCTTTTAAGGCAGTGTTATCAGTCCTTTAGGGCGGGGCTACTAGTCTTTTAAGGCAGTGTTATCAGTCCTTTAGGGTGGGGCTACTAGTCTTTTAAGGCGGTGTTATCAGTCCTTTAGGGCGGGGCTACTAGTCTTTTAAGGCGGTGTTATCAGTCCTTTAGGGTGGGGCTACTAGTCTTTTAAGGCGGTGTTATCAGTCCTTTAGGGCGGGGCTACTAGTCTTTTAAGGCGGTGTTATCAGTCCTTTAGGGCGGGGCTGTCAGGGCATGTCTCATTTCTGCTCTGAACTCTACATTTTGTTAGCAATGCTCAGACTCTAACAACACAACAGCTCACACAGAACTGGATCATGCATCAGCCTACATTAATCTCTCATATCAGGACTGTTTCCAGTGGATGAACATCCCTCACTACAGCAGAAACAAGGACAATCTTCACTACTGTCAACTTTAACCATTTACTACAGAACAAAGTAAGCTGAACACCAGCAGCCTGCAGAATAACTAGCTCAATATAATATACTCTCACCACAGCGAAGACAAGAGAGATGAGGTATTAAGACTATTGTGTTAAACGCTGAAGAACATGTGAACAGCACTTGGAGGACATCTGAAGAAGAGGGACTGGTCACTGCTCTTCAACTCCATCTGAACAGCGTTTGCCTTTCCCAGTGTCAGCGTGTGAAGAGGCCAGTGAAGATACCAGAACCCACCTCATGAAGAGCTCAACGAGGCGCTGGTTCTGCTCGATGAGTGTGTGTTAATCTAGATTTGGTGAACAGAAGCAGCAGCTCCGGTGTGTTTCTGTCAGGTCATGTACAGCAGATGTTCTGACTCTGTTCTGCTGATTGAGCTCCTGTTCAGATCTGCAGTGTCTCTGTGTAGAGGAGCTGTACTCCTCCCAATAACCAAAGCTCACCCTACAGCTCTGATGATGACCCTGACCCGAGCTGACGAGGTGTTCTGCGCTTCAGACTCGTCTCACACTGATGACCACAGCCGATCTCTCTGTCATAGTCTGCTGCTCTCTGTAGAGCTGTAGAGATAGAGCAGACCTCCAGCACACAGCATCAGTGTAGACGATCTGGACAACTGTGAGAACATTAGAGCCAGTCAGGAGGAAAATACTGTGCATCTTCATCATCATCATCAGCACAGGCTGACGGCAGCTGACCGTCTCTCACTGACTTTATGGCATTCCTTCTAAACTGAGCCATAAATACCGCAGATGTCTCTGTGTGTGTGTGTGTGTGTGTGTGTGTGTGTGTGTGTGTGTGTGTAACCCAAGCACCTTCTCAGAGATCCTCTGCACTGATGGAGATATTAATATAAGATATGACTTTCATACAGACGGAGCGCTGGAGGAGTCTGCTCGTCTGTCTGCAGGTCAGGTCTGATCTCGGCGTCTCCGCGTCTCACACTGGCCGTTTGAGAGAGTCACAGAGATGCTGCAAACGAAGAAAACCTCTGAAATATGAGTTTATTGAAGCTGTTTATTCCCTGATGCTCTGCTGTTGCACTGAAGCGGTTTGATTAGTTCAGCG